CCCTAGCACTGGGAAGGCAGAAGCAGGCAGAGCTGGTCTGCAGAGCGAGATCCAGGACAGCTAAGGCTATACAGAGAAGCCCTTTCTCAAAAAATTACAAAAGAAAAAGAAAGATAACATTTTACCCTCTAGAAATTTACAGTCAACTGCAGGCATCCAGAAAAGTAAATACGGAAAGCTTGTGGCAAGGGCTACAGAATAAGCACAACATTAAGTATGGAGATTTTATTACTATGCTGAACATGGCAATTTATGGATAGAGAGAATATTACCATAAATAGTACCTTAAAGGAAAGCTATCCTAGCCATGAACCATGGTGTGTACTTATAATCCTAGCCACATGGAAGACTGAGTTCAAAACCAATGAATGTTTGTGGGTAAGAGCAGTAGTTGTGATCCCTCTGGCAAACCTCAATCTTCAAAAAATACTTATATTACAATTCATAATAGTATCAAAATTCCAGTTCTGAAGAAGCAACGAAAGTAAATTTATGGCTGGGGGTCACCACGACGTGACGAATTAAAGGGCTACATTAGGAAGGCTGAGAACCACTGGCTTAGGTACAGCATTTGCCTAGTTATGCAGGAGTGCTACAGTCATTAAGTACATAGAGATCAGCAAGGGCAATACAGCACCATCTCATCCAAAGCATCCCAACACCCCAGAGTGGGAGGCAGGAGATTATATATGGCACCTTAGGTACATAGCATGTTTGGTTACACAGTGAAATCCTATGGAAAAACACCAACAAAGAAATAAAAGATCCATCTGTAATTTTTAGAAACATTTTTCTGAAAAAAGGGAACATTTTAAAATAATTAAATTCTATTCATTTCCTTTACACTAATTCTCACAGTTAGGAAAAATTTCACAGTACAATTATCCAAGCCAATTCTGACTTCATAAGTTTAGACACAGAATGGAAGGTTGAGTACCTGTGAGAAAATGTTCATGTTGCTATGTTTCTTATGGACCATTTTGTACTTAGTGCTCATCAGTGGACTATGTATAGATTTCATGTAAACAGCTCTCATTTCGGAATCTGTGTACAGAGAAGAATTGAAAATAAGGCAGCAAGATTACTTACATGAAAATTTTCATTTAACTTTGACCACTCCAAGTTTGTATGCCTCAACATTAAGAAAAGGTTAATGGAGAAGATAAACACATACACATACACACACACACACACACACACACACACACACACACACACACGGGGGGGGGGAAGTATTTTGTATGTATAGATCTCATCCAAAACCCAAATATATCTCAGAACTCCAGAAACTAGGGAAGGAGAGTCTCTGGTTACATATGGCACTTTGGGTACATAGCAACTATGAACCCTGCCTGGGCTACATAGTGAAATCCTACTATAAAACACTAACAAAGAATACAAGGTTCATCTATAATTTTTAGACTAAGATTTTTTTTTTTTGTTTTTGTTTTAGAGACAGGGGTTCTCTGTGTTGCTTTGGAGGTTGTCCTGAAACTCACTCTGTAGACCAGGCTGGCCTGAAACACACAGAGATCCTCCTGCCTCTGCCTCTAAAGTGCTGAGATTTAAAGGCGTGCACTACCTCCACCAGGCAAGTTAAAATGTTTTTATGAAAAAATTAAATTTTAGAGAGGCCAAAAAAACAAATTTTAAAATGCTATCAGAGGCCAGGTGTGGTGGCACATGACTCTATTCCTATGGTCCAGAGGCAGAGGCAAGCAGATCTCTGTGAGTTTGAGGCCAGCTTACCCTACAAGTGAGTTCCAGGCAAGCCACAACTACATAGGGAGAGCTTGTCTTTAAAAAAAAAAAAAAAAAGACCAAAAAACAAACACAAAAAAACAAAAAAACAAAACCTGAAACCTAAAAATAACAATGATGATGTCAAAAAACCATCTAGTTGGGTAACTGTGGACAAGTCTCTTAAACTTTTCTGAAAATGAAGACTAGGACCACAACTTTCTACTCACAACAAAAGCACATAAAGACTTCGGGACTGCACCTGACTAGCTGAGGTCAAAGAGGGAAAACATGGGTTTTTAATTTGTTGATGCTTATCATTTTTAAAAAATTATAGCAAATGAGACCTAATACATAAAAATAAGAATTTCTTTGTACTTTTTGTTTTTGTAAACAGGGTTTCTCCATAGCTTTTTGGTCTGTCCTGGAACTCACTCTGTAGACCGGGCTAGTCTCGAACTCACAGAGATCTGACTGCCTCTGACTACCCAATGCTGGGATTAAAGGGGTGTGCCACTACTGCCTGGCTTCTTTGTACTTTAAAAACAGCTTTGAAAAAAATCTTTTCTTTCAACGGAGCTGTGTGTAAGTGGTTGTGTAGTGGGACTCTACCCTTCCACTCTTCGACTGCACACTGAGAACCGTCACCTCTAGCTGCCCAGAATCTAATCATTCTCCCTTCGTCAGTGCTCCCATAGGAGCCACCACTACCCTCTGTATTGCTGCAGAAGCTCTCCTACTTAAGAGAGTGAGCGACTGTAACCAGTGCCAGGCAGACAGTGACCTAACTGCTGGCTCTGTGCTTCCTGATTCCCTCCAAACATGCTAATCCTCGAGAAGTCTAGGCACACTGATGCCTGAGGGCCTTTCAATTGCTGTTATTATTGACTTTTACCGAGATCTGTAAAATCCTCATCCAACACTGACTACTGAGGGCACTACACCTAATTCTGCAGACTGTATCCAGGGTTATAATATGGAAGTTTGTCCATCAATAAGGTTTTTTGCTTTAAACTCATGGTCCTTGGGAAACTACAGCTTTAAATTACATCAGAGTCTGCAGAAAAACAGAAAAATGACAAAACCTGACCTCTGAAAGGCCAGAATATTGATGAGCCAATCAGAACATCTCTCACTTCAGTGGTAGCCAATCTGAATTGGCTCTGAATGTACTGGGCATGCTCTAACACTACTTGACCACATTATTTTCTGAAAGCAGATCTCCCTTATCTGATAAATTGAGTAAGGAGTGTTTTCCTCAACTGGTTCGATTCATCCACATTGCTGAATGGCTTTCTCCCAGTCATCGATCAAATGTCACATTCTCAATGAGGCATACCCCTCACAACGGCAACTTCATCACCTGGCATGGTAATGCACTCTTATCATTACGGCAATCAGCAGGCTCAGGAAAAAGGCTTATAGACTCCATGTCAGAGTGGGCTACACAGCAAGGCCTACTTTCAAAACAACTAAACTACAGCAGTAAGTTGCCTGTGTTCAACCTTAGCAAGTTTAAGTTCCCCTCCCCACTTTTCTTACTTCTTTGTAAATGTTTTATCATATATTATTCTGCACATTTTAATTGTTATATACATTGTCTATTTTCTTCCACTTGAAAGCAAGCATCATATAAAGACCTTAAAGGTCTTTTTTTATTCTCTAGTTTCTCATTCTTGGCTCCTTTATATTAACAGCAAAAAGAAGGCACCGAACACTAGTTAAATGAACATCTGATGCTTGAGCTGCCTAGGTAAATAAGAAGCCTAAAAGCAATAGAAATGGAAAAAAACATGGCTTTGTATATGCTGAATTTAATCCCTATAAAGCCAAGTTTCTTTCTTCTTTTTTTTAAAATAATTTATTTAACCTTTATTTTATGTGTGTTGGGGTAAAGGTATCAGATGCTCTTGAACTAGAGTTACAGACAGTTGTGAGCTGCCGTATGGGTGCTGGGAACTGAACTCGGGCTCTCTGAAGAACAGTAAGTGCTCTTAACGGCCGAGCCATCTCTCCAGCCCCCAAATTTGTTTTAATAAAGGGACCATATTTAAATATGACATTAGACATACTGGAAATAATTACAAAGTATCATGACAGCATTTACCATTCAAAGCCTGTGACAGCTGGGTCTGGTCATTTACAAAGTCAAGAAGTGATGAATCCTGCTCGTTTTCTGACCCATCATCTTCATCTGATGAGACACACCCTGCATCCTCTTCAGAAATCTCTGCTTCATCATCTAGAAACATCCGAGCTATATTCTATGAAGAAACAAGAAACAGAAAGACACTCCAGAAAGTGAAAATAATCTTCTCTCACAGTTTTTGTTCTGGAAATTATATTTTTAAGTTTTTGTTTCAAAATTGACCTGGCATGTAATTGTACATATTTATGCGGTACAGTGCAACATTTCAGTACATGTACACAATGTGTACTGTTGAGATCATGGCATGTCCATCACCTTACATATGCTCTTAAGGAAGTAGCTTTCTTGTCAACAATTTCAAGAGCAAAAATCCAAAGTAAAATTTAAAACTACCAAAAAAGAAAAAAAGAAAAAGAAAAGATACCTATGTAAAATTTCTCCTTATAATTTTAGGTAAAATAGCATCTAAGATATTAGTTGGCTTAGTGGATGTTTCCAAGAGACCACCACCTACAAAGATTCCAAAAGTTAAGCTCTGTCATGGACATAAAGAATATCAGAGTGCCAACTGGAGGGAAAGGTGCTAAGAAGAAAGACGAGGGAAACCGGGACTGGTCAGAGAGAGCTCATCAGGGAAATATGAAAAGATTGACACCTGCACCCGTCCCTGGGACCCACATGGTAGGAGAGGAGAACCGACCCCTGCAGTCTGTGCTCTGACTCCAGTTTCCTGCAGTGCCTTGAACGTGCTGATCCCCGCCTCACACACAAGGCAAATGATGCAATGAATTCTTACATTTTCTTTGTAAAAGCAAATTTCCTAAAACTCAGAAATGTCTCTACATTTTCTTCAATTTGAACAATAAATTCTCAATATATTTCAAATTCTTCATTTAATCATTCAAAATAACACACTGCTAACAAGATAAAGACAGAACACACACACACACACAAACAAACAAACAAACAAAAAACAACAACAAAAAAAAAACAAAAAACAAAAAAGCAATACACTGTGAGATTTTTATTTTAAGTCCAGGAAAAAAATACAAAATAGGTGGGAAAATACTTTTCTCTCCCTCTCTCTCTTTCTCGCTCTCTCTTGTTTTGTTAGGGGAGAGTGTGAACGCAGTCCCCCACTACCACAAATTATGCAGTTGAGTTTCCCAAATTTGGGGAAATTACAAGGATCAGCACATCTGGAGTGCAATGGATAAGCCTCGCCCTGGGAAAACCACCTTCATGATCATGGTATCTCCCCTGCCACGTAAGTGTGGGAAAATAATTAAAAACTGTGTTTTGAGGCACCAGAGAGATGGCTCAGCACTTAAAATCATGGTCTGCTTTTCAGAGAACACAAGTTTACTTCTCAGCACCCACATGGTGGATCATAGCCATCTGTAACTCCAGCTCCATGGGATTCAATAGGCTCTTCTGGCCTTTGTAGGTACCAGGCACATACATGGTACATAGATACAAACAGGCAAAGCATCTTTATCTATCTATCTACTTATCTATCTCTATCTAATGCATATAAGTATACACCTGTATAATAATACACATGTATTTGTGTGCATGTAATAAATACTATATACATTTAAAGAGACTAAGGAAAGATTACCTTTACATAATTATGTTTCTTTCGGACTTTGGAGCCTTTTCTGGCTTTCTTGTCATGAACCTTGAAGTCTTCCAATGGTGTATGAGAATTCTCACTTTCATCACTAGATGATAATTCTGACTATAAAAAGTTAACACAACACTTACATCAGAAAACAACCTAGTTAAACCCACAAATGTCAAATCAGGTAATAGTCATATTAGTGTATGTGTTTACTCAACTTAGTATTACATCAAATCTATCTGATGAAAACCTGCAGTGTTTTCTTTAGATTTTCCAGGATTTCCCAAGTCCATCCAAACATACAGAAATCCAGAAAGTAATATGGTTACAGAGAAACCCTGCCTCAAAAAAGAAAAACAAAACAGAAAGTAATATAGCAGTAAGGAATGTTAACTGAGACCTACAATCACTGCTCTTATACACTATGAACCCAGTAATAATTTGACAGGAATAATTTGTATTATATAGAATAGAGCATGACAATCAGCTTTGTCAGAATTTAGTTCACAATAGTCATTTCAGATACAGCACAATATTAAAGTAATTGTGTGGTGAGTATGAGTATACAAGGTTAATATGGACTGGCTGTATTTTTAATTAACTTTGTCCAAATGATCCTAGACACAAGATCTATGAAGTATTACATGTGGATATGTGCTACTATAGTAAAACACAATGAAAGTTAAAGAAACTATTTTAAACATGAAGCACTTACAAGTTCCTGGGTTGGAGTAGGCAGGATTCTCCAGTTCAAAATCTCATAGTGCAGAGATGCAATTTCCTCTGCGGGTAGTTGTTCAGGCTGTTGACAGTACCTTCTCTTTGCCCGCCACCCCTTTTTGTCAACTGTGACATATTCCAAGAAGCTTACTAAAACTCCCAGCAGTTAAGCTAAAGGCTGTTTTACTCTCAGCTTCAAAAATTACACCTCACTGACCTACTTTCTTTATTATTTCTGTTTCTGTATTATTTATTTGTTATCATTAGGGTAGTTTATAATAAATACTTTTCTTTTGCAGAAGTATTAAGTCTAACCACCGAAGTTATTTTATCTTTTTAGCTGTTAAGTATAACTGTAAGATCAAATATACTATTATTTTTCTGTGCACATTTTTCTTATGTTACTTATCATAAAAGAACTTAGGTATTATGGCTGAAGAATATACACTGCTCTTCCAAAGGACCCAAGTTTGGTTCCCAGCACCCAAGTTGGGTGACTAGAAACTGCTATAAGTTTAGATAGATCCAGGGCATCTTGTTTCCCAGCTGCTGGCATGCAGCACATACACACTAAAGCAAACTGTTTTATAAAAAGAATTGAGGCATTATACACTACCAGGAATTTACTTACCCTAAGAACCCTGGACTTTTTTACAGCATAAATAGGCGAATCGATGTCACTGTTTTTCTGATCCTAGATAGAACAGAAAAACAGTTTAATTAAAATGTGACACAGAGTCTGAAAGGGGAGAGCATGGCCTTCACCTGATTACATCACTGTGATAAATGAATGACTTACCTCGGGGGACTTCAGGACATTTGCTTTTGGTTTTTTAGTTCTTCTCAGGAAAACTTCATCTTCACTTTCACTAGTTAAGCACTCAACTATAATTAATTGAAAAGTGAATTTTGTCAATCAGAAACCATTTTATCTATGACTACAATAAAAAGTTCTAAATGTCTTAATGACAATCTCATTATTCACTTTTGTAAAAGGTCATCAGGCCAAGTATGGCAGCACACATCTTTAATCCTAGCACTTGGGAGGCAGAGGCATTCAGATGTCTGTGAGTTTGAGATCAGCCTGGATACATAAGTAAGTTTAAGGTTAGCAGGGGCTACATAGTAAGACTCTGTCTCAACAAAACAAACAAAAAATATCTTCAGAAGTTTGGCCAACATAATTATCATATAGACACAGTCCTAGAAAACACTGAGAGGCTGAAAAGATAGCTGAGAGGGTAAAGGCCCTTGCTGCTCAATCAGAAGTCCCAAGCCCATTTCTCAGTGTCCATGTCAAGCAGCTCCCAGGCCCTCTAAAATTTGGGTCTTCAAGAATACCCAGAGACCAGGCAGTGGTAGCATGCACCTTTAATCACAGCACTTGGGAGGCAAAGGGAGGTGGATCTCTGTGAGTTCAAGGCCAGCCTGGTCTACAGAGCCAGTTCCAGGATAGCTAAGGACTGTTGTATAGAGAAACCTTTTTTCTCAGGGAAACAAACAAACAAACAAATGACAACAACAAAAAAGAACACTGGCTGCTGGTGCAAAGGACCAGGGTTAAGTTCCCAGCACCCATATGGCACTTACAACTGTCTGCAACTCTAATCTGGGATATACAATGCCCTCTTCTGACCTTCAAAGGCACTATATGCATGGACACTTCTATTCATGCAGGCAAATAAAAACAAATCTCTAAAGACATATTTAAATCAGGCTCAAAATGTTTTAAATGTAATGAGAAAAAAGGCAAATATAATTTATTAGTTCATGTTCACTGTTTAAAAACATTTCCAGTGTGTGAGAGACAGTCACATGCTACACCACACATATGGAGATCAGAGGATAACTTGTGGGAGTCTAACCTCTCCTTTCTCCATGTGGGTTCTTGGGATAATGCTTGATCTGAAGAGCCTTTACCCACTGAGCCATCTCACGGGCCCTGTTTGCCCATGAATTACAGAACTTTAGTTGAAGCAACTAAATCACGAAAACATAGGCTACAAATACATTAAAAGGTTCTTCTGGATTTTTCAAGTATGCATATGAATGCATTTGCATGTGGTTATGCAGAAGCAAGCATGTGTTTGAGTGTGGTAGGTTGAATGACTACCATAAGCTTATATATTTGAATGCTTAGTCATCAGGGATTGGCGCACATTTGGTGTGGTCTTGATGGAGGAAGTGTGTCACTGTGGGTGGGCTTTGAGGTTTCAAAAGCTCAGTCCAGTCCTAGTCTCTTAGTCTTCCTGCCTGCTGCTCCAGCTACAGAACTTTCAGCTACCTCTACAGCAACATGCCTGCTTGCCCACTGCCATGCTCCCCACCAGGATGGTCATGGACTCAACTTCTAAACTGTAAGTTTCATAAACTTGTTCCCCTATAAGTTGCTTTGGCAGGTCTTCACAGCAATTAAAGAGTAAAAAAGACAAACAAAGATTTAAATAAATTTGAAAAAAGAATGTATTAGAAGGGAATGTGGGTTATTTATAAGTCAAAGTCACACAATGCATTGGAGCATCGTCTTTGCTTTCTCTTCGATGATTTGGGCTGGGAGAAACCAGATGTTACATTTTTTATCCCACGGTGTCCAGGCTGGTTACTGAATGAATAGGTTCAAGCACTCTTTTACCCCAGCCACTTGAGTAGATGGCACCACCACCATTCACAACTACTCTAAACTACCAAGCAACTCTATAAAGAGGTTACAAGCAACAAAGTGAAGTCTGCCACCAGTAGTACTGTGAGCAAGCCTGCTTAAGGAAGCACATCTAACTCAAACAGTTCAGTGAGCACTTGTCTCAAAAACTAAGGTAGCGAGTAAAAGAGGAAGACACATGACATTGTCCTCTGACTTCATGCCATGCACCCGAGTGCAAATGTGCTACTTGTGTACACTCAGCACATATGAAAAGCAAATCTTCCAATCCTAGTCACAATTTCAGAGAACTAAAACAAAGTCCTGGCCAAAGTCTTGATAGCAACCTCAATACCCTGAGCCAGGCCCACCTGGCCACACTTGGATTCCTGACTCACTCAAATCATGTTCCGTTCTAAGCCACCAAGGTTTGGGACTAGTTCATTATACAGCACCACGTGTATCTTGACTTCTAGAAAGGAGAGACTGCCATTACAAAAGTCTACATTAATGAAGTAGCTCTGAAACTAGACCGTGGGTAGAACCCAGGGACTTCTGTGGTTTTTCAAAAGCTTAGGAATTGTTTATAGAGAAGATTGACGGCCTTAGGGGGGATTATTGGTGAAAACGGAACAGAAATCTTTCTAGAAGAGGAAAGGAAATCCTTTACAAATCATGTCAAGAAAGTTTAACATGGTAAAAATCAAAGTAGGAAAGACAGGTAAGAACTCACATACAAAATGTGTAAGGTATTAGTAATTGATTCTTGCTGTGACAGGAAAACAAGAGAGACATACTCCTTTTAAACATGTAGCAGAAAGAACTTAACAGGTTTTAAAAATTCCCAGCTCCTCTAGATGACAAATACAAACAAACAAACACAAAACAAAAACAAACAAACAACCCTAAAATTAAGAAATCTTATGTTCAAACACCAAATCCAGAGGACAGCCAGGAAAACATGAAGCTGAAAGTGTGACAGCAAACGCCTGGGGAAGACTTCAAGAAGGTCAGAGGTGGCACCCCATGCAGTTCCTAGAAGACAGATAAAAAGCACCTCCTGTTTTTAATGGGTGGCCCTCAAAGGCCCCTCGCAGACAGCAGGCCTGCTATGGGGCTTACAGAATTGTCTTCCAGTGTCTCAGCTCAATGCCAAAGTAGAAAAGGGCTGTTATCCAAAAGATCTGTGGCAGGGGCAGTGAGTGATGGAGCGACCTCCAAGATCCACTAGAAATCCATTCCTGAACATTTAAGATTTCTAATGGTTTTATTACAAGAAATGCACCTAGTCAC